TCATCCATGACACTAACGTTAATGTACCTAATAAATCTGGTTAATCCATGACACTAACGTTAATGTACCTAATAAATCTGGTTAATCCATGACACTAACGTTAATGTACCTAATAAATCTGGTTAATCCATGACACTAACGTTAATGTACCTAATAAATCCGATTAATCCATGTACATTAACGTTAGTGTTCCTAATAAATCTGGTTAACTTACCAGGTCTTATCCAAGCCGGTCTAACGAGCCCTGGTATCGGACGATAAGCCTCGTTTGACATAACGTTTTCCACTACTATAGTCTAGCAGACGTTTTTATATTGTTCAAGTTATTTCTTGTACTCTCACCAAAACTCTCGTCACTACGATACGTGCTCAAAATGTAAAAAAATAAAAAACATACCACTGAACGTCATCATCATTTCGTACCAGAATGGAAGATATTACGTCACAAAAACAAATATAACAATTAATAAAATAATACAAAACACGTGACAGCTGTGAAACCACGTTCAGAGAATCCAGAACACGTGGCTGCTGTGTAACCACGTTCAGGGAATACAGAACACGTGGCTGCCGTGTAACCACGTCCAGGGAATACAAAACACGTGACTGCTGTGTAACCACGTCCAGAGAATCCAGAACACGTGGCTGTTGTGTAACCACGTCCAAAGAATCCAGAACACGTGGCTGTTGTGTAACCACGTCCAGAGAGTACAGAACACGTGGCTGCTGTGTAACCACGTCCAGAGAATCCAGAACACGTGACTGCTGTGTAACCACGTCCAGAGAATCCAGAACACGTGGCTGCTGTGTAACCACGTCCAGAGAATCCAGAACACGTGTCTGCTATGTAAACACTTCCAGAGAGTACAGGACACGTGGCTGCTATGTAACCACGTCCAGAGAATCCAGAACACGTGGCTGCTGTGTAACCACGTTCAGGGAATACAGAACACGTGTCTGTTGTGTAACCACGTCCAGAGAATCCAGAACACGTGTCTGCTGTGTAACCACTTCCAGAGAATCCAGAACACGTGACTGCTGTGTAACCACGTCCAGAGAATCCAGAACACGTGGCTGCTGTGTAACCACGTCCAGAGAATCCAGAACACGTGGCTGCTATGTAACCACTTCCAGAGAGTACAGGACACGTGGCTGCTGTATAACCACGTCCAGAGAATCCAGAACACGTGTCTGCTGTGTAACCACCTCCAGAGAATCCAGAACACGTGTCTGCTGTGTAACCACCTCCAGAGAATCCAGAACAAGCTGCCTACTAAGACTGTTCCAAGACCATGCAGCTTAATACCGAAACTCAAACAAATATCAACCTCTGCGTCTTAAACGTGAAGATTTCTGTTCACCGGCTTCAAAGTGGAGTAAACCTTAACCGGTCATCAGGATGTAGTAGCCCCAGGAATTAATTAGTGGAACATACGTGGGCCAAAACTGAGTGAAACATCTTGAAAGATACTTGATAGAGAAACAGTCTGTGTCCAAGATAGAGTCCTGACCAATGATGTGAAAGGACAGAATGGAGAACTAGAGGGTACTCAGATGTAACCAAGACTAGGGAGGTTGTTAGGGGGTTGTTACTAAATACAAGAAAGACGATCTGCTACTCCACATTAAACGTTACAAAACTAAAATAATGAAGGGTTCCTTTAACTCGTGAAAGTGAATTGAATACGTGTTTCTGCGCGCTAAAAGAAATCGAAACTTAGATCAAATAAATGTTTCAGTAAATTTAAAAATAAATAAAGCTCAGCTGTCTCATTCGCTACTTGAAGAACTTTAGAAAATCAATAAAAACTTAAATATATAGTGAAACACGCAATAAAAACATTTGGGAAGAAACCTTCAGTTTATCCATTAGTTTATCCATCAGTTTATCCATTAGTTTATCCATCAGTTTATCCAGTAGTTTATCCATCAGTTTATCCATCAGATTATCCATTAGTTTATCCATCAGTTTATCCATTAGTTTATCCATCAGTTTATCCATCAGTTTATCCATTAGTTTATCCATCAGTTTATCCATTAGTTTATCCATCAGTTTATGCATTAGTTTATCCATTAGTTTATCCATCAGTTTATTCATTAGTTTAGCCATTAGTTTATCCATCAGTTTATCCATTAGTTTATCCTTCAGTTTATCCATTAGTTTATCCATCAGTTTATCCATCAGGTTATCCATCAGTTTATCCAGACTCGTGTAACTTATTAAACTTCGGCTAGAGATGTATCTGCAACATTTCACAAAATCCAGGAAGTAGAGGTTTACAGGTTATCTAGCTGTAATCCAGGAAGTAGAGGTTTACAAGTTATCTAGCTGTAATCCAGGAAGTAGAGGTTTACAGGTTATCTAGCTGTAATCCAGGAAGAAGAGGTTTACATATTATATAGCTGTAATCCAGGAAGTAGAGGTTTACAGGTTATCTAGCTGTAATCCAGGAAGAAGAGGTTTACATATTATATAGCTGTAATCCAGGAAGTAGAGGTTTACATATTATCTAGCTGTAATCCAGGAAGTAGAGGTTTACAGGTTATCTAGCTATTATCCAGGAAGTAGAGGTTTACAGATTATCTAGCTGTTGTAATCCAGGAAGTAGAGGTTTACAGATTATCTAGCTGTAATACAGGAAGTAGAGGTTTACAGGTTATCTAGCTGTAATCCAGGAAGTAGAGGTTTACATATTATCTAGCTGTAATCCAGGAAGTAGAGGTTTACAGATTATCTAGCTGTAATCCAGGAAGTAGAGGTTTACAGGTTATCTAGCTGTAATCCAGGAAGTAGAGGTTTACAGGTTATCTAGCTGTTATCCAGGAAGTAGAGGTTTACATATTATATAGCTGTAATCCAGGAAGTAGAGGTTTACAGGTTATCTAACTGTAATCCAGGAAGTAGAGGTTTACAGGTTATCTAGCTGTTATCCAGGAAGTAGATGTTTACATATTATATAGCTGTAATCCAGGAAGTAGAGGTTTACAGGTTATCTAGCTGTAATCCAGGAAGTAGAGGTTTACATATTATCTAGCTGTAATCCAGGAAGTAGAGGTTTACAGATTATCTAGCTGTAATCCAGGAAGTAGAGGTTTACAGGTTATCTAGCTGTAATCCAGGAAGAAGAGGTTTACATATTATATAGCTGTAATCCAGGAAGTAGAGGTTTACAGGTTATCTAGCTGTAATCCAGGAAGAAGAGGTTTACATATTATATAGCTGTAATCCAGGAAGTAGAGGTTTACATATTATCTAGCTGTAATCCAGGAAATAGAGATTTACAGGTTATCTAGCTGTTATCCAGGAAGTAGAGGTTTACAGATTATCTAGCTGTAATACAGGAAGTAGAGGTTTACAGATTATCTAGCTGTAATCCAGGAAGTAGAGGTTTACAGATTATCTAGCTGTAATCCAGGAAGTAGAGGTTTAAATATTATGTAGCTGTAATCCAGAAAGCTGTAATCCAGGAAGTAGAGGTTTACAGATTATCTAGCTGTAATCCAGGAAGTAGAGGTTTACAGATTATATAGCTGTAATCCAGAAAGCTGTAATCCAGGAAGTAGAGGTTTACAGATTATCTAGTTGTAATCCAGGAAGCAGGGGTTTACAGATTATCTAGCAGTTAAGTTCCAAATGTAATATTTTGAGTGTTGTTTTTAATTGTTTTTATGGCTAAAGAATACAGATAAGCCTGAATACGGTTAAGTTAACATATTAATTGAATTGAACAG